CTTTTTTTTTTTGTAATAATAGCTTCAATTCCACACAGCTATAAATGGTGAATTATATATCCAAAAGCTAATAAATTTCACTTATTTGATAATTTTCTTAAGCCAAAATGTAAGCATTTAAGATAAGAAAAGCAGATTGTCTGGCTTGCAGGTATTTTACCAAATGTTGTGCGATAATTGTTGGATAAAGCTCAATACATATTATGAATTATTATTCCAAATTGTTTCCTTTTGCTTTTACAAAATATTGATTAGCACTTTATTGTTTCTATCAGTTAAAAATCCTATAAATATTAAGACATAAACTATCAACTTCAAAGAACTAATAATGTGATAAGCCAACATAAAACTGTCTTGTTTTTTTATTGTCCTTCCGCTCAACATTTTCTTTCAAGATTTTTTTTTTGATTGATTTCGGCTTGCTCAATTTCAGATCATTCAATATTTGAGCTGAAAATTCAAGTTTCTTGTTATCTTCATCTTTAAGAGGCACATTGCCTGCAAATTTTCATTTTAAAAAGTCAAAATAATGATTGTATGTTTTATGATTATTTATTTCTCTTCATGAAATCTTTAAGGAATGTCTGCTAATTCGGCACCTTGGAAATCTCATGATTTCACAATGATGACTACCCAAGTTTAATACTAACCCATTAACTGTGGATAATGAGAATTTCTGCTATTGCAGTTCTATGGATGCAATGCAAATGATAGAAGTTTCTATACTACAGTTAATTTATTTTTTTTTTTTTTTGCTTCATGGTTCAGTAGTTAAAATACTGTCATTATAAAATTGTGACTGAATCTCTTTCCCACAATACCATTTTGGGGACTCTGGGAATTTATAGGTTGTAGCTAGAAACCTGTAATTAATCCTAGATTTCATAGTGGACATTAATAGGTTATAGGTAGAAAATTATAATTAATACCAGATTTCATAGTGGACATTAATGGATTATAAGTAGAAACCTGTAATTAATACTGAATTTTTAGAAATCCATAATTAATAGCAGATTTTATGGTCAACATTAATGGGTTACAGGTAGAAAACTATAATTAGTACCAGATTTAATGGTAGACATTAATGCATTATAGGTAGAAAACTATACGTAATACCAGATTTCATGGTAGACATTAATGAGTTAAACCTATAGAAACCTATAATTAATACCAGATTTTATGGTGGATATTAATTAGTTATTGGTAAAAACCTATAATTAATAATGGATCTTTTAGAAACCTATAATTAATACCGGATTTTTTAATTTTTATCATTATTACCAGATTTTGTGGTGAACATCAATGGGTCAATTTATAATTAAATAAATTTCATATTTGGATATTAGTAGTTTTATACAGTATCAATATATACCTAACAATTGGTAGTGAGTTGAGAAAAAACTTTAAAGAGATAAATAAAAATTAACAAATTACATTTTTTAAAAATAATTTCAGAATGCCAGAAATCTAGATAATAGCCAGATTAAAATAAAAAGGTAACTCTCATCTTGAGATATATATATATATATATATATATACTGGTTTGTGCAACTGACTCTTAAAATTATATAAGTGAACAAGTTGTTGGATTATCTGAAAATAATCTTATATATTAATAATAGCCAATATTTAATAGATAAAAATATAATTAATACCATTGCTGTAAGTTCTGTGGAGACTGAAAGAGGGTTTTCTGTGATGAACATAATTTATTCTGACAGAAGATATCGCCTTGAAATTAAAAATATGGCAAATCTTATCATCATAAATTTGATAGGCCTCCCTTGGAAATGTGTGATTGCAGTGATCCATTTCGAATGTGTCTATGAAATCATAGCATAGTTGATGGCATTACAGTCAAAAAGCATCATACTTCTGAACAGAAATATGATGAGAACAGAATTTCAATCTGGAAATATCTTAATAAATGTTTTCTGTTACATTATCAAAATGGTTTAATTCTTTTTGAATGATTTGTTTCCATTCTCAGATGGAAAAGAAAACAGGCAGAATAGGTAGGTTCCTAAAGATTAGCTGCCTTTATACAACCGGTTTCTGAAATTTGGTATGATATTACTGTATAAATATATATATATATATTTATTTATTTATTGCTTTCACGTTTGAGAAAACTTAATAAAGAAAATGTGCCCACCAACTTTATTAAGTTTCCTCAAGTGTGCAGGCTGGTAGACAAAATAAACACTGTTTAGAAAAAAATGTGGCATTCTACTCAAATAAAAGTATCTGCTAATATTTACCCCTCAGGGACACTTTCATTGAACCAAAGAGATGGAAGTCTGAGGGTGCTAAGTCAGCTGGTGGTAATGAAGAAGTGAAAACTGTTGTAAGGAATTGGCTACATCAGCATCCAGCTAAGTTACATGTCCTCACTTCATAGGTGGAACACTGCTATTAAAAGAGGTGGTGACTATGTTGATAAGTAGGGATGTGAACTTATGATGTATAGCTATATCTTGATGTACAATATGTCTGATTGTGTACCTTATTTCTTATATGATAAAATAAATTGCACCACTTTTTGATACACCCTCATATTATCTTCATACACTAACACCTAAATGGGTCAAAATTATCATGCTTCATTTATTTTTGCAGCGAATTGTTTACTTAATTTTTAAAAAATCTATTAAAATTGGTTTTATTGCAAACAAAACTGTCTTTGGGTAGCCTATTGTGAATCTACCAATTAGTTTGTAATTATATTTATAAGAAAGGGTTGATGGGGGTAATGGAGTGCAGCACAGAAAGAGAAATCACAGAGCTGAGTTCACATTTAAGCTAGGATTGTTATGTTCACTTACATGCAAATACCCCTAGTAAAATTATGGATCTTCCTATAGGTTAAATTGCAGTAGAAACTGGGTTTTATAGCCTTTCTAGAGATAGTAACTCAATAAAATCAGCCATCTTCCAGCAAGCCTGGGTTACTCACGGTGATGTATCAGCCAATAAAAACACTGATTTTTACAAGACTGAGACACATGCTTTCATTTATAGATGAAGCACTGCCATTGAAAGATGTGGTGACTATGTTGAGAAGTAGGGATGTGAACCTGTGATGTAGAGCTGTATATTGAGCTATCATAAGTTTCATTGTGTTCTTTATCTTACTTATTATAAAACGCAGATTGTGTGTGTGTCTGTACGTTTATATATTAGATCGGATTTCCTACATTTTTCAACCGATTTCAACAAAACTTCACAGGACTACGTAAAAATTACCTTGCGGTGGTTATGACAGTGCCAAAAATTGGTAAAACACAATTGTTTTTGCACAAAATCAATTTGAAAACACGATTAAGAGGCATCATGAGAATGAAAGGGGGACAACTCATATCGAATTATATTTATTAATATCGAGCTATCGAGTTATACTTATTATAAAACCCAGGTTGGTTATTTGTGTGTGTTCGTTTATATATGGGATCGGATTTCATACATTTTTCAACAAAACTTCACTTTTTTTTGGCAGGTAGTGTTTCTTATTGTCTTGCACACTTTTTTCTTTATTTTTATATTCAGAATGCTTTAAAAATTCCATTTACAAGACAATTGCTTATAATAAAATTCTATTCAATCGATAGACTCATAACGATTGAAAACAATGTTTTAGTTTGAGTTTGACCAATTCGTAAAAAAAAAAAAATAAAACTAATTAAGACATGTGTGTCCATCAACCTTAAACAATAATCTTTGTAAATTTTATTTTTCAGTCTTTATGATGGTCGATACTTGATCTATCTCTTACTGTTACAACACCGGGCTCTACTGCTAGTTTCTTATATAATAAAACAAGTTGTATTACTTTTTGACTCACCCTCATATGTATGGCTTAAATCAAGAAGTCTGTTGTGCTACATGTAGTTATTAGCTGAGTACAGTCAGTCAGTTATGTGCCATGCATGATACATGCTTAGACGATCATGTATCTTTCGATACAAGATTGATGAGGCAGATTTTTTCCCACAGTTTTTGCCATCTCTTTCTGCAGTAGACCAGTTGCCATCCAAGGCTATAGAACCCTGTCTGTCCTGCTATTTACCCATAGCTGGGGGGAGAAGAGGATTCATACCTTTCTCAAGGGTATTAGCACATAAATGAATGTAATGGATTTGACTGGAATTCGAACTCGGCTCTCCGATTCCTCAATCCAAGACTGCGCTATTTTGTGTTAAAATACTTATACACATATATTTGAATCGATTTAATGGAAGTCAATTTGCTTATTCTATCTCAATTCTTCTTAAAAAGTGCGGAAAAAAAAGAAATATGGAATACCAGTCAGTTATGCGCCATGCGTGATACATATGTAGGCAATCATGTATCTTTTGATACATGATTGACTAAGCAGATTTTTTCCCACAGTCGGTTGCCATCTCTTTCTGTGGTAGACCAGTTGTCATCCAAGGCTATAGAACCCTGTCTGTCCTGCTATTTACCCATAGCTAGGAGGAGAAGAAGAGGATTCATACCTTTCCCAAGGGTATTAGCACATAAGTAAATATAATGGATTTGATTGGAATTCGAACTCGGCTCTCCGATTCCTCAATCCGAGCTGCTGTCCATTACTCCACCATGCCTCCTCTTTCATTTTAATGGATGAGTAAAATAGCATCCATTAAAAAGAAATAAAAATTATCTAAAAATACATTCTTTTAAATAACAAAATACATATACTCACTAAGCAGTATCTTCAAAAATATTAAAAATCTTTCTGTATAGAAAATGGAGTTGCCCATTGAAAAACTTGCTTTAAGGAAAGCAGACAAAAATATTCTCCTGGAGAAAATAATGAACAGTTATAATGCTTTATTGAATGTGTGATTCAAGAAATATTTTAAAAAGTTGGAAGTTTGATTAAATTCTTTTTTTTTTCACTTTGATTTTTTTTTTTTTTTTTTTTTTAGCCGAAAGCAGATTGCTTCTTTCTTTTCTATCAACTTTCTGAAAATGATCAACGGTTTTTATTTTTTCAGAAAGCAAAATGTTCTCTTCACCTTCACCTTCAACAAATTGAAACATTCTTCAATGTCCCTCGAGTACTCTCTGATGAGAATGCTCCTGGACTGATTCTAGCTCATGGTACTATTGGGACTGGCCTTTCTTTCCGAGGAGTTGGTGTCTTCATTACTCGAGATGCTGGTCTTACATGGTATGCG